GAGAAAAGACATCAGCTCAAGGACCATCATGAAAAAAATCACAAAAAGAATCCCTGTCAGCTTTAGGATAGTAGTAAGTAGTGCGATGATAGGGTGAGTCTGAAACCAAAGTATGAGGTGAAAGAGTTGAAAAGATCATTGCATTGTAAGAACATCCAAGAGAAAAAGGAGAAACTGAGCACAAGCTGGAATCAGAGACCAGACATAAATCAAGGAGTAAAAGTAAATGATTAAATTTGTCAGTAAAATGAGTCTTAGAGTTAACTGAGTAAGAGATTGAGAAATGCAGAAGTTATAGGCTAAGTTATAGTGCCAGCAAGGTCAGTGGTATTCGAGCTAAGCCATTCAGTGTGATAAGCATTAAAGTCACCAATAACAACAATATTTGCAAAGGGGTAAAAAAAAAGTGGGCATGGTCAGTTTAATCAGAAATTACAACTAAAAGAGGTTTCCAAGAATTCCATCTTTCAAAATCCGGAAATTACATCTAAATAAGTTTTCCAAGAAAGATCGAAAGTAATAGTCAATCCTAGAAGATGAAGGTTAGATGACTCATTAAGTACATTACGTTTATAAATATAGAGTGATGTAGATTTGTTTAGATCTAGTTTTATCTGAAAACTCAAATGCCCTCTCCAAGCAATCAGAGATTGTTGGATTCTTATCATGACAAGAACTAATTGTAGTATTATTAGCAAACAATGCCACCTCAGATGCAAGATTTTCCGGAAAATCAATAATGTAAATTATAAAGAGTATACGGCCAAGGATAAAACGTTGCTAAACTTTATCAAAAGCTTAAGAAATGTAGAGAACGATCGCTATAATCTCCCCACATCTATCTAATGCACAATAAAACCTATCCGTTAATACTGTAAACAAGTCAGCAGTAGTACAAGAAGTTGTTAGATTCAATATGAGTTTTTAAGATTCAAAAATGAGAGATTAAGTGTTTGTTAGTTAAAGATTAAAAAACTATGCTTATAATAGCAAGAAGACTAATAGAAAGTTAGACAAATCATATCGCTCTCCAGAGTTCAAGAAAATAAGCTGGAAAGCAAGACTCTGATAAGTACTTGTTAAAAAGTTTTGAATGTATAGTTGATAGCTCAAGAAAACACTTTTGCAAGACTATAATAGGTATGTTGTTTGCACCACAAGCTGTAGTAGAGTCTACAGCTTGTGGTGCAAGCAGGAAATCACTTTAGATACAGAAGTTGGAATGATACAAACTTCAAGCAATCAATCAACTTGTTTGCTGGCTATATTAGGTAGAAAGTGACTAATGGAATCAGAAGATGATATTGATAAAAAGTTTTTGGCAAAAACACTCAGCTGTGTCTTAAAGTGAGGTAACAAAATCTAAATTATAAAAGAGAGGTGGAATAACAGATTCTCCCTTATTATAGAGGCTGTTAAAGATTCTCCAGAAATCACAAGAGCCTAATTTTTAAGATAAAATATGAGACTTTGTGACCTGAGAATAGCAGGTTTTTGCATTAGACTAAATCTTTTTACAATGGTTTCTAGCAATAGTAAACAGATGTCTGTTGTGTGGAGATGTATTTCTGATAGATATGTAAGTAATGGTTACGATTGGAGATTGCAGCAGCACAATGTGAGAAAAACCATGGAGAAGAGCGAGGCTTGACTTAAAATTGTCTAGAGGAAATAAAAGATTCCATGCCAGCCTGAATCCAAGAATTTTTGTAAGAAGCACCTTTAATAGCAGGAAGTTAAAGTATTTCTACATAAGGGTCATCACAAAAAAAATCATGGATAGAGTACCAGCTAATTTTAAGGTAGTTGTAAGATGTACGACAATATTCTGATGATAAAGAAGTAGTTTTAGGGTGAGATAGTAGTTTTAGGGTGATCAAACTGTGATCAGAAGCATCTAAAGGTGAATGTGAAGAAACTAATTGTATGACAATAGGATGAATGTGATGATATGAATTGTATTACAATATTGATGTACTATGATTGATATAATGGTAGACTTATTGTAATAAATTAAAAGATCGGCATTTATAAAAAAAAAGTATTAAAAACAGTCTGTAATAATACAGTTATACAATTATTAAAAGAAATAATTACTGCAGTTCATAATACCCGCAAAACTAATTTAAAAGTTCATCAAGTAATCATGAAAATTCTTTGTTTGAATGCTTGAATGGGGATCAAAATATTTAGTTTGAACGATCGAATGGGAATCAAAATGCCATCTAATCCGTATATTAGTAGGAAAATAAAAGTATTGAGCAATTGCATATTGTTATTTAAGAAGGACTCTCATGAAATTATGGTAAAAATAAAGCCTTGGCATCAATTAATCATTTTACGATCAATTACATATTTCATAGCTCTCTTAAAAAAGAAAATGAGCATCATATTGGATCTCAAATTGAACAATCAAAAAAGTTGAGATTTATAATGAACATGTATCCCTATTCAGAAACAATTTATGGAGACTACCTGATGTTGTTACAGGTGATGAGTTCTGGTTTTATTTGAGACAAGTCTGACACAAGTCAGCTATTGCTAGTTAAGTTGAATGTGAATATGCAAAACAATAGTAAGACAAATATGTAATACAAACATGTTATACATCTTGTTCAAAACAACAGGTGTCATTCATATAGGATTTATGTTGAAAAGGGGATACAATTATTGGTCAACACTATGTCAGAAATTATTCAAAACCTGCAGAAAGCCATCACATGGAAAGATAATTGTTCATTTCTATCTCCTTCCCACTTTCAGCCAAATTTTTTTTCTTCTTCTTTGGAATTTGACATTTGAATCTGGATTTTGACATTTATATGCCATATTTTATTTTGTGGTAAAAATCTAGTTAATTAAGTGTTATGCAAATAGTTGTAAACAGCACAAAGTTATTTGAACATCTTTGGTTTACTCCTTAAACAATTTGGACAATTTTGGACTGATTTACCCCTTGTGACCATTTTTTCACATGGAAAATTATAGTGATTTATTTTTTGTTTTTTTGATATCCATCTTTGTAGCTATGCATGTACCTTACCTACAACATAGTAGGGATAATAATTCGAAAATTGCTAAAATGTGACATCACTGGTTTTTCCCTTGTATCCTTCATTTATATATATTATAAATAAAACTATATACTTTTTACAACTATAGACTTCATGTTAAATGCAATCATAAGTTAAAAATCTTACATTTTGGTTTGTGGTTATCCAGCAAAAAGTTTTTCGTCTTTTTATTTACGCCCTCATAACGCCCAACAACATTACTAAAAACTGCCTATTATCCTTATACAATAATTAAAAATACTTATTGGATTTAGCCTGAAACTTATAGATATAAATAATGTAATTTTATCTATATAAATATATAAATACAGTTCTGTTTTAACTTAATTTATTTTTGTTTATTTTTATTCATTGAGCACTTTCCTGAAGATATACCCAAGTACAAATGTGTACACATATATATGTATATATATGCATATGTGTATGTATTTGCATATATATATATATGCAAATATATATTATGCATATATATGTCTATGTATGCATATGTGTAGTGATTTGTTTACTTTTTTTGGAAATTCAACTTTAGTAACCCAGGAGTAATTTCAACAGGGTAAAATATGAACTCAAAAAAAAATTTCAGCTATCCAAAATAAAAAAAGCCAAGCTTAATTGACTTTGAAAAAATGCAAAAAAACACAATTTTTTTTAATTTTCAGGTTTTTCTGCAATTTAGGAAATCAATTAATAAAATAGTCAAACCAGTCAAAAAAAATTTTTTCAAATAAAAATATTCATTATGAAATGGTCAACTAAATTAATAAAAAATTATAAAAACTTGATTTAATCTAATGGTATATAAGCAATATTCGCATTTAAACATTTAAACACCTCATTTTAACGCATATCTATTAATATAAAATTCAATCAAGTTTTGAATGGCAAACTTAAAATGACTTATATAACTAAACTGTATATACAAAGTTTACTTTTTTAGTTTTTTAAGGCGCAATTTTACTTTTTTACTTTTTTAGTTTTACATTTTTAGTTTTTTAAGGAACAATTAGTTAAAAAGTTTATATAATTATATACTAAAGGATTTAGTTATATAGGTCTTGAAAGTGCTTACAAACAACTTGAGTAATTTTGACCTCAAGATTATCCAAGATGTAAGTAATTAATAATTACCAGATATGAATTTATAAATTGAACAATTTAATTTTGACTAAATACTTTAAACATAATTGGTACGTGTACCCATTTGATTAAAATATCTAGCTAATCGTGAATTTAGATAATTATTTCTATAACCCCTGAAGTGCCTAATTTTTATTCGAAAACAGTGATTATTACAGTGATCAACCTAATAAATGGATAATAAAAATAGCCATGGATAACCATTGCCAAAATCCGAACATGTTTTTAAATTGTTTTTTTTTATTGTTTTTAACACTATAAACACTTAAATTCATGAATATAAAGGTTTATCAAGATAATATAAAACAGTTTCTAATTCACAAGTACATGATGAAATATCAAAGAGTTTATCTAAAATTAAATCTTGATACTCTTAACTTTTAGATTTAGGTTTATAGATTTTACTCTTATATAGATGTATATATATAGATGTATGTATATGTGTATATATCTCTATATATCTCTATATATATCTATATATATATATCTATATATATATATATATATATATATATATATATATATATATATATATATATATATATATATATATATATATATATATATATATATATATACATATATATATATATATATATATATATATATATATATATATATATATATATATATATATATATATACTATATATATATATATATATATATATATATATATATATATATATATATATATATATATATATATATATATATATATATATATATACACATATATAGTGTTTACAGAATATACTGCTTTTCTAGATTTATTTATTATTATTTCTAGATTGAAGATCCTCCACCTGAATACAAAAAACCTAAAGAAATTCTGAATTATTTAAAAGGAAAATTAAGACACTCAAAAGCCTATTACAAAATGAAACTAATGATTATTGGGTTTCCACAGCAGGGAAAGACAACTCTGCTTAAAAGGCTTAAAGATGATACTAATTACAATGTGGATCAATCAACACATGGTATGTTAAGTATTGTTTTTTAATTAGATTTACCCCTAAAAGCTCCAGAGGTATGAAGGGTTTATTTGTAATATGAATAATATTTTTTGTCATAGTTGTATGAGGCGTAAAAATAGGATGGTAATGTTGCTAAAATAGTGCAGATATGTTAATAGGTGCAGAGACTGAGGGCAGAGTTGTGGACCTAAGGGACAAGGATTGTAGATCCCCAGCTATGTTAATCTATAGGTTGGATTCACATGGCATGAGATGAATGTAAAACTGTTAAGTATTAACTGTTAAGTACCCACATTACCCCACACACTTCTGATAAGTACCCACATTACCCCACACACATCTGTTAAATAACCACATTACCCGACACATTTCTGCTTTAATTAATTGCGGCTTATGATATGTTTGACATGTATTCTCTTTGCAAGCATCTTCAATTAAGTAAATATGTACAAAAATTTTAATTTAAAATTTGTTTTTGTTTTTTTAATGACAAAGTAATTTATTATTTTTTAAAGTTTATAAGTTTTAAAGTATCTTTTTCAATGTGTCTATCGGTAAATAACATTATTTTGAAAATACAATCCATGGGCGCTTTACTACATTTAACAAAGTCATTGAAAAAACAAGGTGATATTAAAAATAAAGCGGTTGTTTTCTATTAACCTGTATGGGGTAACTTGGTACAGCAAAAATCTTTTTCTACGTTTTATACTTTTTATTTACATATTTAATGATGCTCATAGTGTGTATTGAGGTACCCCATAGATGTGGTACCTTAAGACAAAGTTCCAAATTTACTTTAAATAGTCTTATAAGTTTATCCTGTTATAGTTTAGCAATTTATAAATTTAATTTTGTAGGTATAAATTTATTCTACAAATTAAATTATTCTCCTAAAAAAAAGACCTAATAAAAAAATGGTTACGAAGCAAAAACCAAAAGTGTGCCCTGGTGCCCTGCATAAATTTAATAGTTGAAAACATTACAAAGTTATTTTTTATAATGCTTTGTAAACTTTCTAATAAAATGTTTCTACACTACGCTAAACGCTTTTAAATAAAGTTTTAAAACTCTATTAAATAAATTATCATAGAATATTAAATAAAGTTTTTTTTTAAACCATTAAACTCATTAAAAACAAGGGAATAAAAAAAACTCTTTGATTTTCTTATCCTCTAAAAGAGGATCACCACACACCCCAGTCCAGACGCAGCACTGGTGCATCCCCTGCTGCGATTTTGCGCTATTTATTAGAGGGAGATTTGCCTATTTATTTAAAAAATGCTTTTCCAATATTTGGTGAAACATTTTTGCTGTACAGAGGGTTGAACTAAATTTCTGTTTCTATTTCTGTTTCACTTTTTTGCAATTTTTGTTTCAAATTCTAGCTCAAAATTTTTTAAATCATACACACGTTTTGATTCAGTGACGTATCCAGGAATAATTTGGAAAAGTTTTGATTCAGTGACGTATCCAGGAATAATTTGGGCATACCGGTCTAAAAATCCTGTCTATCTTAGAGGACCTTTTTTTTTTTACTCAAATTTAAATACAATTATTCGTATATAATATATACCTCACCCTTGTCTTTTAGATTTTTTCTAACAAAAATTTAAATAATTAACCAAAATAATGTTACATTTATTACAGAACGACGGCTTTAACTCCAACATCGATTCGCTAATCGCTACTTTTCATTTACTTGCTTCATACACTTACTATTTATAAATTAATATTAATTATTAAATTATTAAATTCAAATTATTAAATATTATTAACTAAAAATAAAAAGAGTATGATTTCATAAACAAGCAATAACTATTAAGTTTAATAAACAATATTTGTATGACTCTTTGATATAAACTTTATAAGATTTATTACATAGCGTATTTAAAACAAGGTAAATTCAATCGAAATTTTAATTCATTTAAAAATTCATAACTTTTTTTTCTAGTTCTACTTTTACTATTCAAATCAAGTTTTTTGACGCGAATATTAAAATGTTATTTTAATTATTGAAATAAATGTTATTTTAATTTTTTGTTTTAAAAACTTTCATTCATTTTATTATTTAAAGTATTTTTAATACAATTTTTACTGTTACTTGAAATGTAAAAGTTTAAAGCTCATTTAGTTTAATCACTTCGAAAATTGTTATGAAAACATAAGCGGAGGAGAAACTCATATTAATGTATTTTTAAAATGTTATTTAAAAATGCTAAGCGTTTCATATTTTAATCCAATCAAAACGTGCGTTTTACATTTAATCTAATTACAACATATTCTATACTTCATCAACGTGAATTCGAATTAAGCATTTTAGTTGGCTTAAAATACATTTATAATATATTTTAAGTTTAAAAATACATTTATAATGTATTTTAAATGCGACTTTTAAAATACATTTATAATGTACTTTTAAAATACATTTATAATGTACTTTAAAAGTCATTTTTCAAATGTTGGTATTTCTGTAATCGTAACAAATGCTAATATAAAACTTTTTTAAATTGAGTTTGGGCTGAAATTTGGGGGCCCATACCGGTATACCGGTATCAAAATCGGCCTGGATACGTCGCTGTGATTAGACTATTGTTAATTGAAATAGGAATTTGTTTTAAGATTTGATGGGTGTGATTTGAATTTGTATTAATATTCAATAATTCATTTTCAGGTTTTTTTATGATTATTTTTGCATTATTAATCCTAATTGATTAAGTTGAACTAGTTTAGCTAGGGAATTTAAAAAATACAAGCCTACAAATTCGCAAACTTCTGTTCTTCAGGGTTAAGGTCATAATTAGGGTAAGGGCTAGCAAACTTGCAAACTTCTGTAACTTCCCATTGTTACATCAAAGCATTCGTGCGTGGTTTGTTAGTAAAGTTTTTCTGCAATGTTTAATTAGACAAGTAGTAGTATCTGTAATTTCGGTGTAGATTTTTCCAAATAATATTGTTTTATATAAAATTTCTGCTGTAAGTGAGAGTTAAAAATCATTAATATCAAATAGTATAAATGTGCATTCATTTTTGTTACAAATTTTAGAAAACCAATTTTTTACATTAGTGGTATTTTTCCACTGCTGCAAATTTAACTTTTTAAAATAATAGTATTATTTATTTTGTCCAACTTAGTTTTACTAATGTGCTTAAGTTCACTTTTTGAAAGAACTAGTAGCCTACAAGAAAGTTTATTATGAAAATTTTGTTTATGATCTTTTAATGTAATAAATGCTTGCGCTAGTGCAATTTCAATTCAATTCTAGTTTCTAAATTAATTGTTTTAGCAATTTTTTGGCAAATCATTTGAATTTTACAAGCTTTTAGGGGCTTTTGCATAATTATTAGAAATATTATTACACAGTATTTTATGATGGTTGTTATATACATACATACAAAATGTCCATTTTATGTTTGCTTTTTTAAAAAAATTCATTTTAAAAACTGTATAAAGTTTAAAAACTTTATAAATTTTTTTTTATTAACTTATAGACAGCTTGCCTGAGCTAAATCTTTAGTTGATGTAGCAGCACTTCCTTGTAGCAGCAGACTATAAAATAGTTGTAGTATTAGGCTATATGATAGTCTGTATTTACTACTTTGAACTATGTTGAAATTGTCTGTATGTATCATTTATTTTTGTGTTGATTTTCCATGAGTTATATCTAATATTTAGGTATGTGAAGAACAGCCAAGATTTCTTGATGATAAAGTCAGACAAAGCTGACATTGGTACCACACAAGTTAGAGGTTAGGTTTGTTCCATGACAAAATCATCAAGTTGTGGACAATCAAAACCTAGCAGCTTCTGAGCTAGTCTAGTTCTTTCCTTCAGTTCTGAATGTCCATTTGCTATTGAAAGAATAACTAGCTGTGGGGTTAGGTACTAACTATGGTGGACCATGGTTTGTATGGAGCTGCTTTCCCTGGGAACATTATTAAATATATTTAGCTTGTTGTTTATCATTTCATAAGCTAACTTAAAAGCATCTAAATCATGTGAAGGAGCCTGGGCTGCAACAGGTGATTTAAAAAGGTATGCTCCATAAAATATGACAATAAAGTCAGTTAACAGTTGAAGCATATCTTTCTCACTTTTATATAACTTTGAAGTCAACTGCTTAGTAAGCTAGTATATGCAATCAGCTATGAACCTTACTTGATAGTGGGCACCTGGTTGCTTGAACTGGAAACAAGGTACATGACCACCAAGGTAAACCACTATTAGCTCACAAAAAACTTTTTAATCTACCCTTTAAAAGCAATCTTGTTTTAGATCTTAGTATCTAATACCTTTTTATGAAAATCAGTACTTGCCATATACTCCTCTCTGCCATAATTGAAAAAAAAAAACTGATCAATATTGTTTGTCTTTTCCCTCATTCTGGGCAGGTTTTTTAAAAATCTTTATATATTTTACATGATGGAGATTTTGTTGAACCATAATCCATTGCATAGGAAATATGTCTTTCAAATATAGGGTGCCTGAAATAACATTTTTCAAAAGATCAAAAATGTACAAAAGTTTGAAAAAACTTTTAAAATGTTATCAAAATATTTAATTAGGGTAGATATAGGGTATAGAATATATTATGAGCACCTTAATCAAAAATTGGTATATATTTTTAAAAATTATTACATTTGAAATTTTTTGCAAATAATTTTTAGGGATCATGACTCATGGTCCTCTTAGATATATATAGATATTTTAGGGCACCCAAATTTTTTAAATAAAAACACAGAGGTTTTAAATATTACTTAGACCACTTGGTAATATGAGCACTTTAAATTATTACTTTAAATTTTTAATTATCATAAAATTGCATTAAGTAAAAACATGTTAAAACAAATTTCTAGAATATAGTAATTTGCTATTAATAAAACTTATCATTAAAAGGTCAAATTTTAAACTATTTTTTATTGAAACAATACTACTTTGTTTTAAGCAAAAAAAAAAAAAAATTGTAATTTTTTCAATTTTATTAACTCAAACCTTTAAACAA